ACACTCGGAGCAGTGGGCAGCCATTTATGCTGTGGCGCCCGGGGAGCAGTTGGGGGTATACCTACAATGATAATATGTCCCTGCTCAGCGCGCTTTGTAGTCTTTTGTCTGTTCATTTTATTTGCAAAGTACACTGAAATAATTTTCTTTACGTAACATGTTCAATAATTAAGTTGCAATATTGCTTTTGACAGAAAAAAGAAGTTGAAGCCTTTTCAGCTAGTGCTAACGAAATATACGACATTGGCAAGCAAGCCAGGTTCAAAATTGCAGCTGGAGAATCTGGAGCAGATGGTACGTTCTTCTTTTGGAGCTGTAGATACCAGATTATGCAAATTGAACCTCTGAACTCTGCCTTTGAAATGAAAAGCAGTGATTAAGGATACAATTAAGTGTCAACAGCAACATTAGATTGATTATTAACAAATGATGGCTGTATCTGTATTTGATTACTTTATAAAAAAATATAATAAAACTTATAAGTAGTGATGCTATGGACTATGCATTGTTTTGTATGGCAATTCCCCGTAAAGGTACGCCCAACGTACCATACTCAGTATGGTACCATACCCCATACTCAGCAAGAGTATGCTTGTGATTCTAAGCAAATAAACTGAAAGAAAGCACACATGGGTTATAGTTCTGATATGCTAAGAAGTATAGTAATTATACAGGAAGTGGGATAAGTGATAGATTATCATCTGTGTATGAATTAATAATAAATCTTTTAACTTGGTGTCTCAGGTCAGGGCGAATCATGGGCTCAAGGCTTGCACTCTGAGGACTATCAGCTCCTGTGTCGGGACGGCACCCGCAGTCCAGTCAGAGATTATGAGAAATGCCATCTGGCTCGAGTCCCATCGAGAGGGATTGTTGTCCACACTGACATCAGCAGTTCAGTGGTTTACAACATGTTGCGTGAGGGACTGGTATGATCCTTTAGTAATACTGGAGGAGTTTGACTTTTTTGAAATTGTCATTTATTAGGATTATGTAATAGAGTAAATACAAATTGTACATTTTATTTCAATGGGATGGTTTCAGTTAAATGTGTTTGTGTGTGTGTTTCTCTTTAGCAAAAGTCTGGGTTCCCCATGTTCTCCTCAGCAGGCTTTGATGGAACAAACTTGTTGTTCAGTGACGCTTCAACCGCATTTATCCAAGCTGGAAATGAAAACTACATCGAATGGATGGGCCAATACTATTACATACTGAGAGCTATGGACTGCTCAGAGTCAGGTGTGCATCTTCATCAAACAATCAAAAATGACGCTATGCATGCTATTTTATATCTTTACATTGTGCTTAAAATCTGTGTTTCTCTGTGATGGGTGTGTATAGATGTTCCCTCTCAACTACGCTGGTGTGTCCTGTCTCATGGAGAGCAGCAAAAATGTGCAGACATGGCTGTGGCTTTCAAAAGCAAAAATTTGATTCCTGATATTCAGTGTATCTATGGTGCATCTGTGGAGGACTGTATGAAGAAAGTACAAGTATGACAATCAAGAGATATTTAAATACCAAACTCTCTTATTCATACCTGTTCACACCAAAAACGATAACTGTAATGATAACTATATCATACACACCATTGCATGATATTCTGTTTATTATAAGCCTGCACTGCTGTGTCGTCTGTCAGTTTAAATGCACAAGTTCTTTGGATGGATTCTGGCTGTCGATATTTTTATCATTCTTCATTTGAAAAAAGAATAAATAAAAATAAATCTGAAAGTGATTACAACAATATCGTTGATCTAAGCCTTTACACTGTAGTTGAGGTGTGGTCTCTGCTATTCTTTTAAATTTAGAACGATTTTTAAAACTATGTCTTTATCGTTATCATTAGTTATTGTCCTTGATGTGAACAAGCTTTTATACTCATAGTTTCCCTTACTAAAATCTGTAATACATCACAACAGTCAAGTTCCGAGACTAAAAATTCCATTCATTTTCACCATGAAGAAACAGATTTGTATAAACCCAAGGCCGCTGAAAAAGTGGGCAATCACTGTGCTTTATTTGAATGAGACTCTTTTCCTCCAGAACAAGGAAGCTGATGCCATCACTCTTGACGGAGGTTACATCTACACAGCGGGGAAGAGTTTTGGTTTGATACCTGCTGTTGGGGAGAGCTACACAGGTTAGAGCCATACACTGTCCATGTACTTTGACTTAACTAATATGCTTCCATGCATTTTATTTAAAATGATTGAATACATTATAAAAAAAGTAGACATTTAAAAAGTGAAAGAACATTTTAGAAAAAAGGAAAGCATAACAAAAAGCAAATAAATAAAAATTGTAGAATTTAGAAAAGAAGGCAGAAATATGATTCATTATATTAATACATTTGTATAATTAATACATATGAATTAATTATATTATACATGAATAATTCATAATACATTTATGAAGTCACTTGAGTATAAGTAAACATTCAAAATGCGCTCACTGGGTAACTGTTTTGTGTTTGGGAAAGATTTTCAGCAGCTGTTTTATTCATAAATGATGATTCATTTTCACAAGCCAATGTGATTCTCTGTCTTAGGAGACACTGACGGAAGTATTTATTATGCTGTGGCTGTGCTGAGGAAGAGCAACAGAGACATCCAGAGATTCAGTGACCTCAAGAGCAAGCGCTCCTGTCACACAGGTTATGGAAGGACTGCAGGCTGGAACATTCCCATGGGTCTGCTAATAGAAAAAGGCATCATCAGAACGCAGACATGCCAAGTGGCCCAAGGTAGGACATGTAGTGCACACATATCATTGGGGTCCTAAAATCTAAAACGACACTGAAAAGCTTCCAGCTTTTTACTCAGATTGTTATTTGTAATTTGAATCAGTTATCACAAATGTCCACTATTTCCCACAAAAAAAATGGTCACATGCTGAACTGAAAGTAGTATGTTGTTCTGCTATATAAATAGCAAAATCATTGTAATGAGAGTGTGATTCTGCCTTTAGCGGCTGGGGAGTTCTTTGAATCAGCCTGTATACCTGGAGCCAATCAGAAAGGTTTCCCCAGTAACCTGTGTGAGCAGTGCATTGGAGACTCCAGTGGTCAGAACAAGTGTGAAAAAGGAAAGGACCTATACGATGGTTACGATGGAGCCTTCAGGTAATCCACTATACTGCACAAAAGATCTGAAAGATTTGGTGCTAATTTGTGTTTTACCAATTGAGTATTTGCATAACAACTAAATATTTTAGTAGGGTCTCTGTTTGTATTTGCAGGTGCCTTGTTGAAGATCATGGTGATGTGGCCTTTGTCAAACATTCCACTGTATTCCAGAACACAGATGGTAAAAAGTTATCTGTTGCTTTAAGCCATTTTTAATAATAATAATAATAATAATAAAAGACTTTAAACATATTTATAGAGCTGTTCAGTCATTTGTAATGTTAATTTGTAGGCCAAATCAGAGGGGTAGTTTGCCATGGATTCCCTCAGGAATTTTCAATAATACTACTAATAATAAATATAATAAATAAAAATATATAAATATAATAAAATATAGTACAAATAAATAAAAACCTAACTATAAAATAAGACTATAGCGTGAACAAAAGCATAGAATTATAAAAGAGGAAATATGTTAATAGTTTTTAATAAATTAACAACAAGTAATAGTAGTAATAATAGTAATACTAATAATAACAACATAACAATAATAATGACTAAGAAACTAAATGTAATAATTAAAAGCTAATTTTAAAAGATTTCCTCACATGATCTTTAAAAAAATGTGAATGGTTTATAACTGGTCTATAATTTATATTTCTAATTTTTAGAATAGCAGTTTTTGATTTATGAGTAAAATAAGGTACTGTATGTGATTAACAATACGTGTGAGAGAAAACTAAGAAAAAATGAAAACTACTATTCAAAAAGCACAAAAGAAATTCCAGAGAAAACCCATGGCTTGAAAATGCTCATTCTTTTCTGGGGTTAGGACTGTAAACTGAAAAGTTCACTTATGCATTTTACATACAGCAAGCAGACCATTACTTTGTGTGTAAAAGTCTCTAGTAGTTCTCTCATGTCAGACTTGTTATTTCCAGGAAACAATACAGATTTTTGGGCGGTACACCTGGAGTCCCGTGAATTTCAGCTGCTTTGTTCTCAGGAGTCTCGTGCTGAAGTCACTCAGTACACTAAGTGCAACCTGGCCCGTGTCCCTTCTCACGCTGTTATGATAAGACCTGATACCAACCACCACGTCATCTTTGGCCTCCTGGACAAAGCCCAGGTAAATCCAAATGTCATTTTTCAGGGTCATTTGAAAATGGCCTTGTTTTTATGACTTTTTGGTTTGCATCTTTCAGAATTTCTTTGGAGTTAATGCTGCCTCAGGCTTCAAGATGTTTGACTCCAAACCCTATGAGGGATCCGACCTGATTTTCAAGGACTCAACTATCACTTTAATTGGCGTGGGGGAGAGGAAGACTTATGAGGAGTGGCTTGGCCAGAGCTACCTGGATGCCGTAATAGCCATGGAGTGTTCAGCTTCATCAACAGGTACTGACAATCTGCATGTAGGCCTGCCTTCACGGTGAAGGCAACTTTCTTTCCTCGGGACTTTTATGTAAAAAACCTCATTCGTGTTCACAGGTGTTTTAGTATCATAATTTCGCATTCATGTCTCGTTTCAAACGAAAAACAAAACAAAAGAAAAAACTGAAGGTAGTACTAGAAAAACACTATCCGACATCAGTGCACTAACGTTAACTTACATTCACAAAAAATATCATAGCAACCATAGTTTGTGGCTCCAAAAAAAAAAACATGAGCAGATATAATATAATTTTAAAAATTCACCACGGTAAACATTTCATGTCAAGGAAAAATACATTAAAATGCCAAAGATTTAGTTTCTGTCCAAAAAGTTTGAATGAGATCTTATCATGACTTACATACAGTAACAACAGCAGTTGTGTATTGCGGGATGAAATGTTTACCGTGGTGAATTCCTGTAGGATTCTACAGTAAGTGTGCTCATGTATTTGGGTTCAGTTCCTCAGAGCGTGTGGAGGCTGAACATTGACACACCTCAGGAAGCTCAGCAGAACTTGTCATTTGGAGCTGCAGATCGGTGGTGGGAACAGACAGATCTGACCAAACTTCTGCTGTCTTCCAACAAACTCCAGAGCTTCTCTGAAGACGTCAAACTCCTCCCTTCCCTGGTTGTCCTGGATGTAGGTTTTTGCATATCTCATTTTGTTTGAGAATGTTTTTACAATCTAAACACTGCATGTCAGCACTTTTTATTCCATTTCTTAATGAATACATATAAAGGACATGGATGGCTACTCTCCTGTGGTTAAATCAATGTAACTACTCCTATAAACCACACATTACTTTTTTTGAAAAAATAAAAAATAAAAATCATAATGCCGTAGTATTTTAATTTCCCATTTTTGAGTGTCTAAATTTGGTCTAGATATGGTCTGCTTTCTTTGCTGCCTTTTTCCAGATCCATGACAATCAACTAAGCTCACTGCCTGATTCTATTAGAGATCTAGAGCAACTACAGAAGCTCATACTGAGGTACTGATGTACACTGTATACAAAGTGATATAAACCTTGTCATAATACTTGATCCTCTCTGTAGTCACAATAAACTGACACAATTGCCGTCGGGTCTTTGGAGACTTACAAACCTGCGATGTCTTCATCTGCAACAGAATCTGATCGAACAGATTCCTCAGGATTCGGGCCAGCTGGTTAATTTAGATGATCTTGTAAGTGACTGAGATCTTGTCTTGACTAGCAACAAACTACAGTATATGGCAAATAAACTCTGACTTTCCAACAGCACCATAAAAGCCTAGATCCAGTGATAGTATTAATATCTCTCATTCAACATAGATATGCACTACTGTTCAAAAGTTTTGGGTCGGTAAGATTAAAAAAAAAAAAGTTTTTGAAAGAAGTCTCTTATGCTCACCAAGGCTGCAATGCATTTATTTGTAATATATTGTGAAATATTAATACTATTTAAAGTAACTGTTTGATATTTTAATGTTTATAAATGCAGTTTATTCCTGTAATGGCAAAGCTGAATTAATCTAGTCTTCAGTGTCACATGATGCTTCAGAAATCATTCTAATATGCTGAATTGGACATTTTTATTATTATCAATGTTGAAAACTGTTGCTTTTTCATATTTTTGTGGAAGCAGTGTTACGTATTTTTGGGATTCTTTAATGAATAAAAAGTTCATTTATTTAGAACAATGTTGTAACATTATAAATGTATTTACTGCCACTTTTGATCAATTTAATGCATCCTTGTATAAGTATTAATTTCTTTGTTTATATAAAAAAAACATACTTATCTCAAACTTTTGCACGGTATGTCTATGTGTAATAATCAACTGCAGTATGATCATTTGTTAAATCGATGATGTTGCTGTGATGTCACATGGAATATGTGTACTTTAGTATTCCCATTATTTAGTTTTTCCTCTAAAAGGATCTCTCCAACAATCATCTAATGGACATTCCAGAAAGCCTGGCAAACCTGAAAAATCTTGTGACATTGAATTTGTCCTGCAACAAGCTCAAGAGTCTCCCTCCTGCCATCAGTGAAATGAAAAGTGTTTTGACAGTAGCAGTTTCCATGAGAGTCATGTTTATTGGTTAACCCGTGAACTCATCTTTCTTTTGTTAACCCTCACAGACCTGAGAATGCTGGACTGTTCCCGGAATCAAATAGGGAGCATTCCTCCTGTCCTGGCTCAGATGGAGTCCCTCGAACAGCTTTACTTAAGACACAACAAGTTACGCTTTCTTCCCGAACTGCACTGCTGTGAAACACTCAAGGTAAAGCATTTGGAAGAATACATTGTGATTGTCTTAAGAAAAAGGCTAACACAAGGTTTTTAAAATGTATTAAGGAACTCCGTTGTGGGAACAACCAGATTGAGGTATTGGAGGCAGACCATTTAAAGCACCGGAGTGCTCTGAGTTTCTTGGAGCTCTGAGATAACAAGGTGAAGAACCTTCCAGAAGAAATAACCCTACTGCAAGGCCTGGAGCGCCTGGATCTTACTAACAATGACATCAGCAGGTGCTGGGCATTTGTTATTGTATGTATACTTTGGAATTTATAAAATAAAGGACTATGTTCTGGGAACAAAATTATGGACTACCATCGCTTTTTATAACTCGGTATATGTTCAACATATCTTCTGATTTGTTCTGCAGAAGAAAGAAAATCATTTCAATAAGTCTCTCTTTTTGGTGAAACAGTCTGCCGTGTGGACTTGGCACGTTACCCAAGCTGAAGTCTTTGGCTTTGGAGGGCAATCCACTGAGGACGATCCGCAGAGACCTCCTGACTGTGAGTGTTCAACATATCACAGCTATTTTTTGTCTTCATTTTGTTCTTAGTAATCTCAGAAACAACACTGGAAAAGTCTGAAATGTATCAGAAAATCTTATAGTACCTCCTTTGCAGAAAGGGACTGGTGAACTCCTAAAATATCTCAGAAGTCGAATACAAGGTACGTCTATAAGATCATGTAAAGATTTAGTACAGTATTGTTTTTCAGTACGATACAGCCCCCAAGTTTCTCTTTTGTAACATCGTTGTGGGTTTTATCATGTTTTAAATGTAGAGCATCCAGATGGAAGCTTGAAAGAAGAGCCAAAAACAGCAATGACCCTCCCAAGCCAAGCTAAAATCAATGTGCATGCCATCAAAACTCTGAAAACACTGGACTACAGGTAAAAAAAAATCATCAGCAGCAACTTCGAGAGCAGGATTTTGTGTATTTAATGGTAAAGCCTTTTATTTAGCGAGAAACATGAGGGATCCATCCCAGATGAGGTGTTTGATGCAATTGATGATAGTCCTGTGGCAAACGTAAACTTCAGCAAAAATCAACTGACGGCAGTTCCACCCAGGTACGCATATGGCCATTCCATCTCATTAGAAGCGTTTCTGATTTACTGAACACTTACAATGCTTAGTTAAAATATCCTCTCATTTCCTGCAGAATTTTGGAGTTAAAGGACACCCTAGCAGCCATTAATCTTGGGTTTAACAAGCTAATAACCATTCCAGTGGACTTTTCCAAGTTGAAACAGCTGGTACATTTAGATCTCAGGTAATCCTTAACTTAATTTATGTCCTTTTAAGGTTCCGATTAAAAGATTTTATTTAGCTAATTCAGTGGTTCCGAGCTGTTTTTGCCACATCCTCTCAACATTTTACTGCTTTAGCTAGAGTGCTATTTTTAAGATGACACAGAAGGGAAAAACTACAGTAATTATATAGTGGATGGAAATTTAGCAAAATAAATTCTCTACAATTTTAAATGACTGATCTCTTGTTTGAGATATTTTGTGCACTGATAAATGTCACTTAAAAGCAGCATAATGACTTAACTAAGAACTCTGAGGTCACTTAAAAGTGATATATTACCCGAATTTACCATAACAAAGTGCACTGAACTAATGCTTTTTTTTAATAGAAACAATCTACTGATCTCACTGCCAACGGAGTTGGAAGGCTTAATCAAGCTGAGGTGTTATTTTGTCTTTTAATAGGTAGTTTTTCCCATTATCACTCTCACCCCACCATGTTAAATGAGTAAATATATAAAACGAGTTTGACTAAATATAAATATCACACTTTTAGTGTTTTTTTTTTGTACCAAACACAATAAATCATCTCTTGCCACTTGTTTTAATTAATCTTATCTGACACTCTGCCCTTAAAAATGACATTGTAACGTCATTACAGAATTTAGTAATTTCATCTTTTATAAACAAAACTTTGGCATGCTTTGTAATGAAGTTAAGAGAAAGGCAACTAAATTAACAGTTGTTTGTGCTCAAGTTTTAAATGTTATAATTGCTTTTCAGTGTGAATGTTTATATTTTCAATTATCAAAGAACTAGTAATACATTATGAAAATCAGACTTTTGGTTCTAGCATCTATAAAGGACCACAGAATGACCAGTAGTAACAATAGTGACATTTTTATTATTTGTACAATAAAGATACATTATTCAAAACACCTCTTAGATACTGAAAAAATTCTGTACTCCAAAGCCGAAAATGGCTCCAATATTTGCTGAACAGTATTGGACTTTCTTCTCCTTTATATACAGGTTTGTTATTTTAATTTTGTTAACTAAAATTGATTTTAAATATGTACATATATCATCTGCAAAATGCATTCTAGACACATAATATATGTCATCAATTACATATTTGCGGTAATACCGAAAAATAAAAATTGGAAGGAGTAAACTTGCATGTGCAAATAAATTATATGATAAATTGTCACTAATTCTTTTGAACTAAATCGAATAATTTATTCTAGATATACTTTTTGCACAAAAATGAAACGGCATTCAAGTTCAGTAAGTCTTAATACTGCAGAAAGCTTTAAGTACATTCACAATCTATTGGAATAAATAATTTAAATGTCTCCATTCATAGTTATTTACATCAATACTGCAATTAGACTGAATAGTACCATATATTACCTTTTTATATTCAATAGGTCTTTAAACACATACAAAAATGACCATTTGTATATTCATATACATATATGTTTATGACACAAATTCACAATTACTTTAGAAAGAATTGTACATATTTGTTTCTAGTGTTTCCTTTCCTCGCAATCGAACTCTCTGTCCATACATTGGTTTTGTGTTCTTTATAAAATGTAACAATTTGAGCATAGCTAATTATATCAATATATTAGAAAGCATTATTTGAAAACATGTAGTAAAAATAATCATTATCAAATGTTCTTTCACAATAGTATTTGAACAATTAATTGCATCATCCATAATAATCTTTAATAATCAACAATATTCCTCTGAAGCTAAATGCAGTGGGTGTTGTGTTGGGGTCTTTCAGAGTGCATTTCGGCTCGAAACTCTCCTTCTAAATGCTACATTTTTAGCAACATTTGAAACATGCCCAGGATTTTTGAAAGGATATTATGGCACTGTTTATCACAACGATGATTGATTTAAAAGGGGGGGGGGGGGGGGGGAGCAAGATGAATT